GAGGCACACAAAGGCCAAACCGTGGGCTCTTGAGTGGAAACGAGGAGAAACACCGGCCGGTTCAGGACTTCTAGGGCGTGAGGCTTCTCGGGCCAAGAAGTAAGAAAAACAAGAAACAAAGAGAGAGGAAGATGGTAGATGGTGTTGGCGTGAGAATGGCGTGAGAATGGAGAGAGAGAGATGGCCGTGTGTGTAAAAAAGGGGGGGGGGGGGGCCTATAAGACTCCAAACTTGCTCCGCACTCAAGACCATTAATATTAGTCATGATGATGATGCCTCAAAGTCCAAGCTAATTAATGATATTCATGATGATGGGGGCCTCAAAGTCCAATTTCCATTAAGGCTTGTCATGATGAGAGTGACCTAGAAAAATCTAACCACAATTGGCTTCTAGATCTCTCTCTCGGCTAATCTCTTGAGCGGGCTCTCTCTCTCGGCTACCATTTTCCTTGGCCGACTCTCCTCTTGGTTCTAGCAATAATTGGTGTCCGAGGCATTAAATGCAAGGGACAACTCAGCTTATCTTCATTAATGGCATGTCATCATGATAAGGCCTCCAAAATCTAAGGTCATTAATGCATGTCATGATCAAAGGGGTGCTTAAAGTCTTATGGCCAATAATGGAGGCTTCTTGAGGAAGATTTGACTAGGTCAAAGCTTATCTTCTAGTTTCTTCCCAATTAAACAAACGTGGAGCCTATTTTGGCCTTCTAGAAATGTCGGTTGGGCTCACAATAACTCGGCACCATCGGGTTGCACAATAACAATTAATCGACATTTAAGTCGCAAACCCGCATCATAACCAATTCCATGATTTCCGACGGTTTTCCACGACAAAACATGTATAATAATCTCGTTCAACCCGAGGGTCGGCGCGGGAATGTCCTCAAATATCACCAAAAGACATCAAGTCGAGATTCTAACGTTCTCATATAGAAATTGATAAATCTTTGAAATCTGACAAAACCGGACAGCTTTGCTCTGTTCACGAAATCGGACTTGAAAACATAGTAAATGGACTCCGAAAATTCTCAAATTTGAATATGTCATAAGCAAGGCCTTAAGAAACATTTCTCATGAAGAACACAAAATCGGAATCTTTCTGTAAACACCATTTTCAGTAGCTCAAAGACAGACTAAAAACAGTTCACTGGAACAGAATTCGTGTTTCTCAAAGTAAGCTTTGTCCAGAATCCAAATCATCTCGAAAAATTCTCAAATTTATATATGTTATAGAAAAAGAAGTTCTCAACAACTTTTGTGAAGGAAACTTTTCCAAAATCGTCCCAGAAAAGCTTGTAAAAATAAAGAAAGGGTGAACATCACCGAAATACCCATTATGAGCAGTTTTTCACGGTCCGGAAATGAGGCTGTCGTACTACTCATATCAAGTCCAAAAATTCTGAAATTAAAATATGTAAAACTTCAAGATGTTGGAGAAACTTTTAAGAAGGAAGTGTTTGGAAATTCGGATCACAAAAGTCTCCACAAAAATAACAAAACGAAGGGTTACAAAGTATCCGAAACTGGGTTTTCCAAAACAAGAGTAAAAATTGGTTCCAATTGAAAAACTACCAAACGTAAACCATAGCCATTTTTCAGGGACTGAAATTGAGGATGTTACAATTGTGGTCAGCAGGACGCTACACCCAGGCATAATCGTGATCTCGACGAGAGCCCGCTTCACTTTGTAGGGCACTTTGCGGCCCTCTGCAGCCTCTTCTTCGGCTTTGGTTGAGAAGAACTTGTTATAAAACGTCTTCCTAACGATTTGTCTCTCTCGTGGAGAAAGAGAGGAAATACGAGTGCTGATTATTATCTTTTTGGTCAAACATGGCATTCAACACTCATCATGGACACTGGTTTAAGATTCTTCAATGAAAAGGAGACACTAGATAGTATATAACTGGGGTGTGTTTCTTTTTATAATGTCTTAAGGAGTAGGCACTATTTGAAAAGAATCTATTGAGCACAAACTTTGCACGAATCATCGCATTCGAAGGTGACTTTAAAAATGACAACGAGGATAACTTGCCTAGAAGAGTTTGAGAACTACGTGGTTAAAGAACATGCAGGAAAGGGACCGCTTTTGTTGAAGTCACCTTCAAGCACGAAAATTTATGCAAAGTTGGTGCAAAGTTGGTGCTCAATAGAATGTATTGAATGATGCTCATTTTGCAACAATCACAGCTAAGAGAATTTATCTTTTTGTGTATAATTAGCATTTGATGCTGCCTGTTCTCCACATTGCATGTCCTTATAGGCCATCTTGATACTTCAACTCCTAAATACTACTTTCACGTTTTACTCTCTCGTGATATTCTTCATCCATGAAGTATCTTCTCGAGTTTCTCGTGTGCCCTTTCTCTGTGAGTTACATGATGCTTTTGTTAGTTAATGATTGTGAATTCGAACAACTCATTTACCTCTTTGACAAGTCTAGTACTTTAACTCCTAAAGCAACCTCGCTCATGCCACATCTTAAACATAATCCCTTTTTCTTGTCTACCCAAACCGAATCACCGATCATCTTCTTCCAATGGTCCTGCAATTAGCATTGAAAGAAGGGATTCAATTTAAATCTTTAAAGAGCTTCCCAATGAAAACGAAGTTAAAGTTTAAAATCTTTAACTTGCCAGAAGTCGTTGATCTCGACGAGAGCCCGCTTCACTTTGTAGGGCACTTTGCGGCCCTCTGCCACCTCTTCTTCGGCTTTGGTTGAGAAGAACTCGTAGTAAAACATCTTCTTAATGATCTGGTTTCTCTCGTGGACAAAGAGAGGAAATAGGCGTGCTGATTATAATCTTTTTAGGTCAAACATGGCATTCAACACTCATCATGGGCACTGATGTGAGATTCTTCAATGAAAAGGAGACAGTAGATAATGTGTGACTGGAGTATGTTTCTTTTTATAATGTCTGAAGGAGTAGGCACTATTTGGACAGAATCTATGGAGCACAAACTTTGCAAGAATCATCGAACTTCAAGGTGACTTCAACAATGACGATGAGAATAACTGGGCCCTAGAAGATTTTGAGAACTATGTGGTTAAAGAAAGTGCAGGAAAGGGACCGCTTTCGTTGAATTCGCCTTCAAGCACGATGATTCGTGCAAGGTTGGTTCATAGTTCGTGCTCAATATAGTGTGTTGAATGAGGCTCACTTTGCAACAATCACAGCTTAGAGAATTTATCTTTTCGTGTATAATTAGCATTGGATACTGACTCTTCTCCACATTGCATGTCCTTATAGGCCATTTTGATACTTCAACTCCTAAGTATTTCGTGTCCAAATTGAAGTTGGATCACTTATATTAAATCTGATCAAATGAAGCACTTGATTATTGCCCTTTTGCCTTTGTACTGAAAATCTATTAGATTACTGCTTTTGATAGTGATAACCTTTGTTTGTCATCAATGAAAACTATTTATGAGCATTTTCGGTTGCATCTAAAGTACAAATGGGAATACTCTACAAATAACTTAAGAGTCAATGCCAAAGAAGGGGCAAAATTAGTAAAATCTCCTTGGATGCAAGTTGAATTGAAGTTTAGGTGGATAGAGTAAACGGCTTCATATCGTGTGCAACCCAGATCATAAGGATCTGGAACATATTAATTTTATTTATTAAAGCTCAACAATCTAAGTAGAGAGTCCTACTTTCATCGTAATTTCACAGGCCGCATCATACAAACAGAGAGATAGTTTCGTGTTTTAGAGCACGTACCTTGCGGCAATGGGGCCCGTATTTGCTAGAAAAGCTTCCGGACCAACCGGAGCGACACAGATCCGTGGAGCCAAATTACGTTGAACAGAGGTGAGATTTTTCATTTCGTGAAATTAAATATCTCGACACTTGTTATATCGCTCAATCCGGACTAATGCAAGAATTACCGAACATTTGGGATTGTTGATGTAATTCACATGCGAGGCCTCAAGGGGCACAACCACACCTTCGCTTTGTGTAGTATCCCTTCAAATGATCGACTACTCATTTGGAATTGGTGCATCAAACCATATAACGTAGGCTTCTGGAGCTGTAATTATTATCAAAGAAGTTTCATTGACTTCTGAATGCAATTGGATGAAAAGAATCAATATGACTTGATTAAAAAGCCAAAAAAATACCAAAATGAAAAAGGGGTTTGTCAAGAATGGGATTCGAACCCATGCCCTTTCGGACCAGTACCTGAAACTGGCGCCTTAGACCAACTCGGCCATCTTGACTTGGTTGTCCAATGAGGCATAAAATATGTATCTATCATATAAAGAGGGTGTCTCTCCATGGTTACTTCGTACATGCAGAGTTTCCCAAAGAAGTTTGAGTTTGGTCTGCATTCCGATCACTAAAACACTTAAAATCGAGGATTGCCAACTCTGTTTTGCCATCGTTTGTTTGTCGAATCATTCACTGATAGGGAAGAACAAACTCGCGAGTTATCATCGAGAGCCTGTTTTTGCTCGTTAGGAGCTGCAAAGCGCCAAATCTTGATGTGAGAAATTAATCTAGCCCTCGAAATGTCCTTTAAGACCTTCCCCAGGTACGCTCCCTCGATTGGAACCGCCAAAAAACGAGTTATAAGAAAGAAGAACCTCAAGATTTGCTCAGATGGTAAGCTCGTTCGTCTTTCTCACTCGAGACCTCGTTTCGAATCGCCGCATCTGCGCATTCTCCTGAAGACCGCCTCGAGAAGCACGGACTTTTATGCCATCGACAGTTACACCGTGCTCATGGGACCGGAGCACTGACACATTCAAGATAGATCAGTCAGATGCTTCCCATTGCTAGAAGAAGATGACCGGGATCATCCACATCGTTCGGTGCATTCGTTGGTCCCTCAATAAATCTCAATCGCCGGTACATCATCGGTAAATTAAGAAGTTTTCTAAAATATAATGAAAAGCCCATCAAAAGTTGGGCCCTCAAGGCCCATTGAATCACATCATGGGCCATAGCCCATTTTCTCTCTCTTCCCCATCTCCCGCTTCTTCTTCTTCTTCATCATCTTCATCTTCTTCTCCTCCTCCTTCTCCTTCTCCAGACGCGAGTCCTACCCCCTAATGTTGCAGAGAAATCGATCGGAATTTCTCTCCAAGTGACCGGCTTCTCGATTGCGGGCGGATTCGCCCGCTGCTGCGTCTTCCGATTCCGGCGCCGTCGATCTCCGGGAAGAATTCGAATTCCGGCTGCCGATTTGATGAAATGCTCGGAGGACGCAATGTCGGGCGCCGAAAGCTGAAATCCGTGAGAGTTTTTCGCATTGCAATTTCTGATTTTTGCGTCGTTGTTTCGATGGTGAGAAGGGTACCCATCGGTGGTGGGGCTTCGTTTTGGGTTCATTGGGTGGATCGTCGTGTTTTCAACTCGCGAAATTATGGATTTTCTTCGATAAAAATTCGAGCTTTTGGGCGTTTGCGAACTGCTTGTCGATGTCGGGCCAATGAGGGGTGCGGGAAAAGGAGGGATTTCGGTGCTTTTTGTATGTCAATGTCACTGTGTGTTCGAGTTGACCTTCCCCATCCTTGGTTCCCACACCGTTGTTTGATGCCGGGTGTGATGTTAGAACAAAGGGTCTTTGATGCCGGGTTCATCCGCAAGAAAACGCCGAATGGCAATGCGGCATCGATAGCTAAGGGATAGGGATGGAAGGCTGATAAACAATGTGTGGCCTTTGTTATTATGGTGTGATATCTATTATGAGATTAAATAGTTGCAGAGAACTCCCATCAGTGATGGAATAGACTATACGGCCTTTGACGTGCGCGTCGAGAAGGTTTGGAAGGAAACAAAACCATCTGATGAGAACGCATTTTGCGTCGACGACAATTTTCAACTTGTTCAGTCGGGTTAAGGGTGAGGCAGTAAGGGCTAGAGTTCAATCTCTGTCGGTTGCAGATTCATAGAGAATGGTAGTCACAATATCTGGGTGCCTAGCTTTGAAAGAGCGATGTTGTAGTTTATGTAATTCTTCCTCGCTTCAATTCAGTGGCTTGCCAATGCAGTACTAAAGTGAGCTTGCCAATCATTTTTTATGCTATATTATTCATCCTGCTGCTTAAACTTAGAAAAATTAAGACAGAATCTGGTAAATGAATTGTTTTCGTGGAGAACACATGGTAGGGCTAGTGACCAGTATAACTCTCGTCACATTTGGATTATCAAAGGAACTGGTTTAGCAAAATGCAACATGTAGTTCTACAAGGAACATGATCTTCGCATTAAAGCATGCTTTGTGAAATGTGGAACCATAATTTGGATTAATGATTGGATGTTCTCTGGTAACATCTTTCTGTCATTCTCTGTACTGTTGATGGATTGAAGTGGGTGTAGTGTATTCTGAGTAGTTTTCTGTTTTTTCTTTTGTGCAACGAACAAAAGGGTTCTATTAAAGGATGCAGCTTTGATGTTTGCTTAATTATGCGCAGATACTTGCCCTACCTACCGACCTTTCTTTTGGAAGCAGAGGGTGGAGAAGAACTTGCTAGAAAAAGGAAATATTTGAATTTTCTCAAAGTTCTTTTTCACTGCTTCAAGTAATCAAAGATTCTTTGCTTTCATGTTTTGTCCTTGTATGTTCCTGCCCTGCCTCCCAAGTTTACTTTAGACTTACCTTTATTCAGTTGGGCTATAACTTTTTTATCAGCTCACCTTGTGACTGATAATTTTTGTGTTTTATCTGGGGACATCAGTATCTGGTGAGATTTGCCACCTTAAAAGTGTATACTCCATCAATATGGCACTCTAGAACCTAAGACTCTGGCAGTTGGAAGATGGCTTTGAATTCAGAGGACGAACAAGCTGAAGATTATTTATTCAAGGTAGTTTTAATTGGCGATTCAGCAGTTGGGAAGTCAAATTTGCTTGCAAGATTTGCCAGAGATGAGTTTTACCCTAATTCCAAGTCCACAATCGGGGTGGAATTCCAAACGCAAAAATTAAATATCGATGGCAAGGAGATCAAGGCGCAAATCTGGGATACAGCAGGTCAGGAACGGTTCAGGGCCGTCACCTCTGCATACTACAGAGGCGCAGTTGGAGCTCTGCTTGTGTACGATATTAGTAGGCGCCAGACATTTGATAGCGTTGGTAGATGGCTTAATGAACTTCACAGTAAGTTTCTTATTTCTCCCTGTACGCTTGCATCCTGCTTCTCTTCTTTGCCCATTGGCATGTTGACTTGATTTTGAGGAAATTACTTAGTTTCCTCACATAACCAATGGATTTAAGATCTTAAGAGTCTTTAGTCCTTGCTGAAAGGTTCCTGCATTGCCCTGTCCCTGAGGTGTCGGCAAACAGATCTTCTAGTCACTATTCACTATCTTAAAATCATTTTCTAAATTTGGAGTCATGGAACTGATTTAGTTACAAATGAATATAAACTACGATAAGTTGATGGACATTAATAAATGACACCGGTTACTACCTTTACCTGTTGGTTTTGAAGTTCTCTTACGTCATTCCTAGGCAGATAAGAACGATTTTACCCAGGTCTTCAAGCTAAACAATAAGCCAAGCACTGACTTCTAGCATTTCTATGAACAGCTCATTCCGATATGAACGTGATAACAGTTCTGGTTGGCAACAAGTCAGATCTAAAGGACGCAAGGGAGGTGAGCGCCGCCGAAGGCAAGACATTGGCGGAGGCACAGGGCTTGTTCTTCATGGAGACATCGGCCCTTGATTCTTCGAACGTGGCTGCTGCATTCCAAACCATGGTCAAAGAAATATATGGTGTACTGAAACGGAAAGTGGTGGCGTCCCAAGAGCTAAACAAGCAAGGCCCGGTGTGGTTGGGGAACGGGAAGACTGTCGTCTTAGACGGAGAGGGCAAGACCCAAGAAGAGGCGGCCCCTCGAAAAGCTGGCTGTTGTGGGACATGAATAAACCATCGCAATAACATGAGGTTCTGAAGTCTTGATCGCAGCACAATTATTCACATCCTGTTGGTGCCTGTTCTCAAGGCTTTGTTTGCAAGTCGAGCTCCTGGTATTCCTTCTCCTCCAGGTGCCAAATTCTTGACAGCAACAAGTTTAATCAAATTACTCCCTTTTTGTCTGAATTCTTTTGTTGAAATTGCCCTTGGAATAGAGAATGTATATGGCATGATTCTCTTTCGAGAATCCATACATCTTGATGACCGAAAATAATGTCTGTAAACTCCCTCTCCACCTTCTCTCTTGCCAATCTATTCTGGTGTATATCTTTAAACTCGGGACTTCGAGAGTGTTCGCTTCCGTGCACGCCGTGCGTCGCTTCACTTTGCCTTTTTGATAGCCACGTGGCAAGTTATGTGGTAAAGACACGCGGCGTAGTTTCGCATACGGGCAAAGAGACTCCCTCTCTACCTTAATTCTCAGCTATTTTCGTAAATCGCATCATCATTCAAATTTCCTTTTTAACTAATATCACTGATTGAATTGAAAATTGCAATCTAGGTATGCCCGCGAAAAGCGCGGTTCAATTAGCTAGGTTAATTTTAATACACATAAGCTTTTGCATAGGCTGCTTCTTGAGGTGACACCTTGACAGAAGCCAAAGAAAGAGACTGATATTTATTATAATTACAATTATAATTATTTATTCTTTTTTATTTATTATAATAATTATTATTATTATTACTTTTTTTTTTTGTATTTTTAGGGTCCTTGGTGGTCCAAAGCGGCTATGAATTATATCTTTATGATAAGGACTGTGAATTGTGAAGGACATTGTGGATGCTGACTGGCCGAAAGCTATGTAGCATCGGCACTTCCCCACGTCCTTCTCTTCTTTTAATCGAGCAGTGACAACCTGGGACATGGGCCCAATCCCGAAAAAGCTTTTGTACTTACTTGCCCCCACACTTTTTCCTTTTCGGAATAATTAATTAAATAATCATTAAATTTTGATATAACGTGTAACGCAGTTTCTGAACTTTAAATTAATGTGTAATGTAGCTCTCGAAATTCTTATTGTTCATTATGGCTCCTGAACTTTTGATAGATGTTTAATCTAGTCCTTAAATTACATGAAAATATCCAACGTTATCCTTCAATTGATTCGGATTTAAGGATAACATTGAATATTTTTATATAGTCCAAAGATTAAATTGAACATAGGGACCACATTAAACAGGTTACAAATTCAAGGACTATATTGTACATGAGGCTAAAGTTGACGGACCTTTTCGGAATAATTAATTAAATAATCATTAAATTTTGATATAATGTGTAATGCAGTTTCTGAACTTTAACTTAATGTGTAATGTAGCTCTCGAAATTCTTAATTATTCATTAGGCCCCGAACTTTGATAGATGTTTAATCTAGTCCTTAAATTACATGAAAATATCCAACGTTATCCTTCAATTGATTCGGGTTTAAGGATAACATTGAATATTTTTATATAGTTCAAAGATTAAATTGAACATAGGGACCACATTAAACAGGTTACAAATTCAAGGACTATATTGTACATGAGGCTAAAGTTGACGGACCTTTTTTTGTCATTTTCTCTCTCTTTATCTTTACATTGATGGATGGCCAATCTTTTTCTTTTTTCTTTATTAGATTAAGCAAAAAATAAAAATTCATATCGAGAATTTAGTATTTGTTAAAATGGCCAAGCTTTTGTTGCAAGATATGGAGTCAAACTTGTTTTTGCTATTTGAAAACGCTACTACAATCGTTGCAAATTTTACTTTTCAAGTAAAAAAGTAAATTGCAATAAATTAGAATAAGTTTGTCGTTTCCATGTCGTAAGCTTCTTTTTTCTTTCCATAAGTATAGCAAAAAATAATGAGTAAATTTATAGCTATCACGTAAAAGTCAGTAACTTTTAAACATGGTTAGTAATTTCCAACAATCTTGTCGACATTTAGTGCCACTAAAATTTGTAATTACTGAGTAATTTCTCAGAGAAAAAAGTTAATTTTAATTAAATCAGTTGCTAGTGCATGTTTAAGTAAACGTTGCTCATTTTTATCGGACAAACTTCCCTTAAAATCGAAGGGATAATAGAATTTCCAGTCAATTCATAACTTCTCCAATCGTACGATCCTCCTTCCTTTTGCTTTTTCCTAAATGAACGGCCCAGATGATCCGAGCACAACAACACGTGCAAGTAATGGTTGAAAGCAAATTTGGAAAAGGAAAATTGGTGGGCGGCCGCGTCCCACGTGGCGCTTTCAACGGCCGTCGGTTGTCGGGGTGGGGACCACATGCGACAGACAAAACCGCCGACGTCAACTATCATTTTTCCATATACGGCAAGGGGGGGAATGACACGTGGCCCCACCGACGTGTGCGCCCGCGTGTAATTTTGGAACCAAATCTTTTTCGGCGGATAAGAGGCAAATCGGCCAATACATGGGCGACACGTCGGATCGTTGAAAGCTACAGATGTTCACGTGCAATTTTTCCATGCACGTCCCCAGGAACGCGTGGCCTAGCAACGTGGAAACGGAAAAATTACGAAAAAAAAGTCGTGAACCTATTATGATTGTATTAATTCAGCCTTAATTTTTTTTTTTGTCAATTTCGTCGTAAATATTTTACATTTGTGTCAATTCAATCCATCAGCCCCAGAAAAAAGGAGAAAGAAAAGAAAATACAAAAAAGTTACACTAATTCAAAAAATTATTAAAAATGTCCACATCAGCGCCAGCCACGCCATGCAGGAATTTCTAATCAATTTGGCTGGATGGATTGAATTGGCACATATGCAAAAGGTTTTATGATCGATAGGTTTAGGATAATTTTCCCTCGTGGAAACTCGATAGCCCGAAGAAAATTCTTACTTGGACTCGGGCTCTATACGAACCGGTTCAACCATCGTGACAACTAATCATGTGGATTCCACATAATCGACGGCTAGACTTACTCGATTATGTGCACTTCGCTAATAGGTGTATTCGATTCTGACGTGGATTAAGTACTTGTGGTTTGACAATTGATGAATAAGTTTGAAAGCAAACTAAAGTGCCTAGTTTTTAGTTTTACTGTCACGCCCCCTTATCAACGCACTATCATCTTATTGGCTTGGTATAAAGTTTATGATTTTATTATATTCTATGTTAAGATGCACATGTAAGTTGTGCTAGAGAAGTCACTCATCGGAGAATTTGTATGGTGTGGAGTGAAGTAGTTAATATATCCTAATTGGCTCATAATTCCTCGGCATAAACTTTTGAATGAAGATAAATTCAACTGGATATATTAACAGGCTTAAACTTGAGTTCTCCCTTAGCGATCTCCCTAATCAAGCTCTTACAACTCGCTCGTAACAAATGGTATCAGAGCCGATAATAGATTAGAAGCCCCAAGGTGAATATCTCAGGCTTCGTTTGTTACGTGGAAAGTGAATTATTTAAAAAATATTTTCCTAAAAATGATCGATTATATCGATAATTAGGCAGTAGGAAATGCTTTCATTATCGACAATAATTTATATCTAAATATTTTCGTGGACGATGAAAATATTGTTTGTTCGTTTATTTTTGTAAACGATACAAATGATTATTTTTAGAAAAATATTTTCCAAACCATTCATTATCCTCGAAACAAATGGAGCCTCAACGAAAAAATCGAGTGATTAATGCGATTTCTGGGCAGGTGGGCATTGTGGCGTAGTAACGCGATCTCGATGCAACTGTCATGGTACGGTCGGGAAAAAGATACTAGGGACGAAGGGGGTGTTGGAGATTCAAGTTGAGATGAGTTGATACAGGAGGATATCTTAATTAAAAGAGAGCAAACCTAACACCAAGCTCACATGTGAAAGAGAAATCATTTAGATGCATGTGTGAGAGCAAATTTAACGCTGAGCTCACACGTCAGGGGGAGATTATTGAGATGCACGTGCGAGTTGTATTTAGAAAATTCCCACATCGGCGAATGGGTGCCGTGTAGAATAGTTAATATATACTAGTTGGCTCCTAACTTATTAGTTTAAGCTTTTGAATGAAAATGAGTTCAACTGGATATGTTGACGGATTCAGACTTAAGCTCTCCCTTGACGACCTCCCCAGTCGAAGATATCGGGCTTCTATCACATTTAAGCAATGCTACAGTACAAAGTAACTTTAGATGATAACTAATAATTCTTGTATGTGAACATGTTATCATCCGGTTTCCGGGCAACATCGACTGGTTCAAGGCCAACAAACGGGAGTCGACCGGACCCAAATTTTTTTATTCGGGAACCGAGTCGATCCCTGTGACTTGGAACCGACCAAATAAGGCCACTTCGGTTCCGGTTACCCACCCCTAATTTGAAGCACCAATTCAGGAACTTTTTCTTGAGTAGAATAAGTGAAAATTCAGGAAGAGCCGGAAACAACCAAATGTCTTGTGGTCAAACCAGCTGCAATTGAAAAGAAAAGAAGGCACAAAGTCAACAAGTAGGAACCTGTTTCACCTATTAGTTCCAACCCCAGTAAAGAACCCTTCAACGATATGATCAACCAGCAAATCTGATCAGCAATCATGCAAGTGAAGAAGCAACATGGTTTAAAAACAGAGTATTCAGTCACTACCATGACAAGAGATGACAACCTTGGCCCATCAGAAAAATTTATTTATAATAGTTGTCTTATGGTAGAATTTGATCAGAATTCAGTAACTCATCTCTTGAAATTTCACAAGAGTACTCCATATCAAACTAATAACTGGAGCGTAACTCTCTGTGTACATTTATCTGGAACAAAAGCCTCAGAGAGGGTATTACTGACAAGAACCAGCATGATTGCTGAATAATACAGTGAAGAAAAAAAAATGTAAAGAACACTTGGAACAAAAGAGAAAAAAATGTGAACAGAAAAAAGTGTCAGCCTTCTTATGTATCGCCGGATCACCAGAGAAGCATGATACAAATTTCTGGAAACACCCTACCAAAGGTTTTTCACCGCAATCGAACTCCAAGAAACAAAAACCTATGTGAAAATCTCAAGCCTGAACCTTGCACAAGATTCCCCCTGTATCTGCTCGATTTACGGGCTTTTGTAGATGGGCAAACCAATCATCTGTAGACGTACTTTGAACTCACAGAAACAACTCGATGCGGAAATTACACAAACATGGAATACTCCAATTGCTTTGAAAGATACAATTTGCCTACCGTAACTTTCTGACGTCTATATAATGTACTAGGTAGCAATTCCTGTAAAAAACAATGAAACAAATGTCAATAACGATATTTAAATATTTTGATTTCAACTTTTCTTTTAGATATGAATGCAGCTGACAGTAAAACATCGGACAAGGGCGCAAAAGCTTTAGATGATAAATCAAATCCTTTCGCTTGTTGCAGTGAGTCGAATTTTGACTTTGCAAAGAGAATACAGATGAGCCCAATTTAAGAGTAAGAAGTCAGTCATCCCCATTCTTTCAATCCTTGAGCTGCCACCAAAAGATGAGTGGGAATGCCAACATTCTTCGAGGCACGGAATAGGGAGATAAGGAATCAACTCATTGTACCAACAGACATGCTAACAAGGTATTGGACGGAAAATTCTGTTTTACCAAAGGTTTAAAAACCACAACAAACCTACTGCCAATGTTCTGCGACAATCTGTATTAGGCATGAGAAATTGTTCTTCATTTCTATCTGAAGGTAATGAAAGGACTACCATTTCGTCATGGGAAGAATATGCTTCTCAATTCATGAGCAATGTACTAAAATAGATCAATGCTTACCAATTTCTGAACAGAAACGCTAATCCGTGAAACATAATCAAAGATGACTATCCCAGAGACACCAAACACTCATAACATCAATGATCGCCATCAAATCTTTAACTGATGGCCTTTCCCATGCATGACATATTCATTGGCTAGAAATGAATCTATCAACTTGGATTTATTATGCAGGACATGATGCCGAAGCAGTTTACAGGGTATGGAGCAACTTTTCCTATCCTGGGTAAAAAAATGCAAAAGTGGAGAACCCAGAATCCTCTAAAAGCCGCAACATGTTCCTTATATCAACCTCGTTCTTGCGATATCATTGCTTATACTACCAATGATACTGACAAAGGATGCAATTAAGGAAGAAGAGAAGAAGAATAACTAGCTTAAGCAATGTCCACAATTAAGAGTTCGTATCGTCAAATATCGCACCTCTAGTTGATTGTCTATTAGCAACCCCATAACCAACATAACCAGCAGAGCTCTGGGTCATAACATCTGAAGTTGCATTTCCAAGTCCATAGCTAAATGGTCCAGACGTTTCTGGTTCTGGAGGTGATGGTTGCCAAGTGAGGTCTCCATAAAGTGAACTACTTTCATAAAGATCTGGAGTCCCATTGCGGCCACCACTTGTTGCAGGATATGACAAAGCTTGTACAGATCCAACCACTCCACTGTTTCTTCCAAATCCTCCAGCTCCTGAAACATAACTACCATCCATACTGCCAAGACTATAGTTTTCACCACTTAAGGTAGAACCATTTCTTCTACCTTGTGTGGAATTGGCAGACGAACCCCAAATTGTTCCTGCAGTATTAAAAGAGCTCAGTCCCGCATTTTCACTTCCAGATCCCATAAGATTGTTGGTATTTGCAGTGCTTGAAGAATAACCAAGATTGCTGATGCCCCACAAACTCCCCCCTGCAGGGCTCAAGATGGAACCACTTCCTCCATGGCTCCCAGAGTTGTACCTGCTTGTCCCATTGTAGAAAGAATTAAACATCTTCCCATAACTGAGGTTCGAAAGTATGTTTGCATTTGCCCCAAAGCTTGGGTTAAAACCCGGCTCGTTATTCAATCCTTTCGGATAAGGAGGAGTGAAAGGAGGAACTCCACCCAGACCAGTTGTCACTGGACTAAGTCTCCCATCCATTCTGGCTCCAAAATCTCCAACAGAGTTTGGACCATATCCCTGGGCATAACCATTGAGGAAGCCACTGACTCTACTCATACCTTGGTTATAGTTCCCTAATGGGCTTCGACTTGGCCCAGGAGATAATTCTTTCGGGACTGCTCGCTTCACCTCCACCATTTTACCTTTCAGTTCATGGAATGTCTTGTACAGGACTCTATCCACAGCATCTTCTGAATCATAAGTAATAAATCCAAATCCTCTGGGCCTCTGGGTGTTGTGATCATACATCACCACAACATCAGTGATTATCCCGAACTGATCAAAGTATTTCTTAAAGTCACTCTCTGTGATTGTTGACGGCAAACCTCCGACAAAAATTTTCTTTGTCCGGGTAGGACCAGGTGAGCCGCTGATGCTTCTATTGTTTCTGATAAGAATGTTGTGATCATCTCTTGGGACAGCCTTTTTCGCCTCAACCTGATCACGTTAAAGTACTCAATCAACAAGAACTCGATGCTTTTCATATTATTCAACGCTCAACTATTCAATTGTCCCCTGAAATAGAATTATGACCTCTGAACTCTAAATTAAGAATCTTCAACAATATATTTGTTCCGCACCTTTACCATTCTTCGACAGTTAATGGCATTTCTGCCCCTTGATATTGGAGCTATACTAAGATAAAGATGGCTCACACAGAATCAAAAGTAAAAATAGTCAAATATTCGTCTCATCTGCATCTTTTCGCTTATTTATAGCAATAAAGTTAAATGAATTTAAAAAGGACCATCCTAAAGGCAATAATCATGAAACAACTGCCGATCACAATGCAGCAATAACGGAGATCCTTCTGATGCATAACACCTTGCCATACATTCTCTGCACATGCACACTAGTTGCTATCACATTTGCACTCTTGTTTATTTTCACCAATCCCCAAAAATAAATGTGCGCTTGGTAAAAAACAGCTAAAAAACAATCAGCTTCAGTAAGCTCTTTACTTGCTGTCATCAATCTCGGGTGCATCCCTTAGGAATGTTCGCACTGGACACAGTAATTAACTGAAATCCCACGTTTAGCAACAAGAACTCGCCCAACAAAATAGAATTCTGATGCTGTTATCTTTAAAAGATCTATACAGGGGCACTCATACGCAAAGATGAAACCCTCTTAGCAAATACCATATTACAATGCATCTGACATAAGCAGAGTTGCATTTGTGAAAGGATAAACGACAACTCACACATTTCACCTGTTTGCAGGTATCGTGTGTATAAACTAAATGCATTCCTGCTGTACATGCAATTTTCAGCAGGGAGAGCAAAAGCCAAAGCGCGTTAGGAAGAAGGAAACTCACACTTCTACCGTCAATCACATGCTTTTCCATAACAACTCTTTCCGCAACAGCAGGATCAGCGAAGACCACGAAACCGAAGCCGCGGGCCCGTCCGGTAGCTCGGTCTCTCATAATCACAGCTTCTACTACTTCGCCAAAGTTTTGGAAATAATCCCTCAAGCGGTCCTCATTCGTGTCCCACGAAATCCCACCAACAAACAGCTTCCCATGATCCATTTCCATCCTGCAAAGACAAAAAAAAGCGCGGAAAAAAAAAAAATCCCATTGGCCACGAAACCGCATCGATCAATTCGCCATCCAATCTAAAATCCACCCACCCACTTACTAATCTCGACCATCTAACCGATCGAAACCGCGACGAACACTCGACAGCAACCTCCATTCTCTCCCCCCCCCTCGATGAAACAGTAAAAGGCACGACACCAATCAAGAGCCCAATTCTCCCCGGATTCCCGACCCACCCAAAGCTCCCGAATTCGACCCGGAACAGAGAATCCAAACCGAACCCAACAAACCGTAATGCGGACCGCGCGGGGCGAGCTCACCTTTCTCTTACGAAACAGGACCCCGGGATGCCTCTTGCTTCGGCGGGTGGGGTGGCGATGAACGAAAGCCGCGCGTCCTCTGCGAATTCTTCAATCCCGGATCATCGGATCGGCCGCCGATCTGGAACGACCCCGGAGTCCTCCAATCCGGGCGCCGGAAAGGGATCGGGGGGGAATTCAGCGCCGAATCGGGTCGAGCATTCGAAAGGAAAAAGGGGACCCAAGAAGATCACCGGGCCGCTCGCGCAAGCCGGCGAACGGCGAAGGAACCGGCGGGGGGGGCGGGCGAAAGAAGGGGTGGTGGGCGGAGATGGGTTTTCGCCGCTCCGGACGATGGAGTCGAGATCGGATTGAATCGGAGTGGGGTGGGAGGAGGGAGGGATCGGCGAGGGATGGGGGGAAAGGATCTGGAGAGGAGGAGAGGGGGAGGAATGATAAAGAAAGAGAGGGCGAGAGGCCCTCTTTCTCTCTCTCTCTCCGTCTCTGTCTCTGCCTCTGCCTCTCGCTCTCTCTCTCTCTTTTTCTTTCTTTTTTGTGTTTGGCAAGCGGTGAGGTGTGGCCTTTTTCTCAAGATTCAATTTACATCAACCCCAAGATTAATGAAAAAAATTATGTCAAATCAAATCAAATCAAATCGAATTAAATCACGTAATTTAATAAATTTAACGAATCATGAATAAATGAAAAATTTTATTATTGAATCGAAATGGGTTGGGAGAGAGGGGAGGAGGTTTGTGAGAGGAGCTATGGGATTTTTTTTTTTGCGGATTTTTTTTGGGGGAAATAATGCGTGTTTGTGTTGCCGAAAACAATGTATGTTGTGTTCCTCTTGTGTAAGAAGGTTAGAAAGATGAACTTGAATTGGTGTCAAGTACAAAAATTGATATAAAAGTCGCCTTGGTTATGTACGGGTAATTTCGATGAACTTGGAGTGGTGTTGTGAGGGTTGACGACGTACCAAATGGGATATTTTTCTTAGAAATCAAAAATAATAAATAAACGGACGAAATTAATTGATCTATTCACATTGCACCGTAATGATCGAGTTGAAACACACGACGTAACATGATTAACTATTTCGAGATGTAATTTCGAAATCGCGGACTATGAAAAATATGCTCGGAGGATATGGTTAAGCAGTCGGCCCGATTACATTTGTGTATTCCGACCATGTATTAACGTGTTTTCATTCCTTTTGTTTAGGAGTTTTTTTTTTCCATGTTGGCATTTTAATTATTATTTCGTTCATGATGCATTTGTTGCTAGATAGAGAAAGGTGTAGTATAATTAATCGTTAATCACAATTTGGCGAGACAAAAATGCAAAGTAAATTCGAGGAATCAAAAACCATGTACACTTATTCCCACCAAAGAAGCTTTCTTGGTTACATTGACTTCCCTACAAGCAAAAGCGTGGGGGCCAGCTCATTATTCTTCAATGTTTAACACTAATTTTTAAATGTGGCATGCCACCACTAAAAGGGATTCCTTCCAATTATTTATCCTAATTTAGTATAATCTATCAACAGCCATGAGGTCATACCCAATCACAAAAAAAAGAAGAAAAAATTAGATGTTTATCCAAACAAATAATGCACCCCCATCTTCCACTTCTTGCCTCTTCTCCCCTCCCTTTGAGACCCAACTTCACAGAAATTTCAGCATAATTGTTTATTTTCAAGTATGCTGAAGTAATTTAATCTTGCATTAAATTATATATTTTAAATATAATGTTTGAATGGTAGTGCAACTTCCTAGAGCATTTCACAACAGATCATGGGTGATTACTTCCTTTAGAGGCAAAGGATGTCACATTTGTTTGCATCCTGACTTGCTTTTACAGTAAGTCAATCCAAAATTAGTTGTGTGATCCACAATGTTTGCAATTGGATTGCGAGGTCCAGAATTAGCATGATTTGGATGGGAGAAAAAAATGAATTAATTTAATCATCTTCTTAATCATTTGGAAAGATGAGATGGGGTTAATGACTTTATCCCAAATTAGCTTTTCTTTAATTTTTGTTTTATCTTATTTTTTTCTTCCATGTGAATTTTGGAATATAGAAATAGGAGAATAAAGTGGGAGAAGTGGGAAAGACAGAGGGGATTGCTTGTGCCATGCATCAAAGATTACATGATTTGAGACACAAGCCACATGCATGATGCTAGGAGGCTCAAACATTGTATGACTTAATGCCTTTGATGCTATTAAGGAGAGGAATCTATTGGGGTCGCCTTTAATTAGGCATCAAACAAAGTGATCTTGTGGAAATTCCTCTTCCATCAGGTCTAGCTTCTTTTGATCCTTTTTGGTGGAAATTTTTTTCACAAGTTAGTACATTTTGTGGCCGTAAAAGTCGATAAGACCGTCTACTTTTCTTGTGATTAGGCTTGGAGTTGACAAATTACTTTAAAAAGGAGTTCCAAAATAGGGTGGTTAACGGGTCGTGCTCGGGTTGGGCATGAGAATTTCCGGTGCCGGCCTGAGGGCCGAGCTTTGGGGCACGTCCGGCCTAGGCAATGTTTTTAAGGGGCTAATTCAAAAGAAAAAAAATACCAACTTTACTTTGAGTGACAATTCTGACCCGAACTTTTTTTGTCTTAATAAAAAGGACAAAATTTTATTCGAGTCTCAAATCTGACCCCGTTGATGTGAAATTTTCAAATTGTTCGGGCCATATTTGGGATGAAGTAAAAGTTGATGATTTTTTAGAGACAAAAAAAATTCAGGTCAGAATTGTCACTCGAGGTAAAATTGATTTTTTTTATTTTAGAAATGGACCTATTTTTAAGTAAAATTAAAGATTAATATTATGAAAATAAGATTTAAAAATTCCCACAAAATCCAAATTTTGTGAATTTCAAATTGCAAGATTTCTCAAAAGAAAATTACACAAAATCCGCGTACATTAAAATTTTCCAATATCAGACCAGTGACTTATATTGATAAATAGTTGAAAGTCGATTATCCACAATTATACTCGACCGGCTAGCCTAGGCAAGCACACGCTCCACTTGATGGTAACGACGCTCTTTGTGTTGCATAGGTAAAAGTTTTCTAGCACTGTCGGCAAAGTACACAACGGCTTACTTGCGGGTTAAATTTCATTTTTCATCTCCGCCAATTCCCATATGTTAGTGTCTCTTCCTCTCGATCGTATCCAATTCGGGTACATTGTCGTTCAAAGTTCAAACCGGGCATATGTTGTCTCGTTAGAGTGCTGCCTACGAACTTGTGAAACGTTGTTTTAGAAGATGGTTGATAACGTCTCCTCTGGTACTCTATTTTTGTAAAAAAAAAAATGGTCGTGGAATTTTTTTAATTTGTTTAAATGCAAAGTGGAGAGATTGGCCACTGTGTGGCCGGTGGTGATGGAACGTCTATTCCTTTTTTCAAAAGAAAGAAATCTTTAAAGTGAGCCTTTGCAAATTCAATTTAGTGCACACCACACAAATTTCTTTAGAACGGAATACAAGTACAACTTTAAACTCATAAAAAAGTATATGTGCTATTTCCAATGGAAGCAAGTGCGCTAATTTAAATGAAAACGGATTACACCAAAGCAACGCCACATTAGTTTGGTCGCAGTGCTACAGTTGGCCTTCGGCTAAAGTCAATTCTTGCAATAAGGGCGCAAGTTCACTCTGTTTCGTTGACTCGTCATATTTGGACAGGTTTCTGGTACTAGTCATTTCCTTGAAGAGTTCCCCCCTAGACCATCCGTGTCATGTTTGGCTTTGGTTTCTTCTTAAGTGGCCCGGTCCCATTTTGCCCATTTGCGGACTCACGGATCGGGCAACGGGTTTTTCGCAATATACCACGCAAACGGTCTTCTTGTCACCACCGGATTCGATCTCAATTCAGAAAGCCACCCGAAAACCAGCCATACTTCTCCACGAAGCCAAGCCGGAGTTGCCTTGGGGGTGGCGGTCCGCCAAAGGTAGCAGCACCCTGGCGGGGTAGCTTGCGGCTTTCACCTTGTTCATCTCTCTTGTCTTCGGTGTTTTTGGTCACACTAGACGTTTTATTCTCTGAAAACAACTATATATCTGTCATATCCTTCTTTCCTCTTCCTTCCCATGTCTTCGTAGGCTCGTTTTGTATGAAAATTACTATTTTCCCTAACTAACAATAGGCTTTCAATGTCTAATACTTCTAGATGAACTTCCTTACCTTTGTGATCTCACCCAATGAAATAAAAGTTTCTTCATCGTTTCAATTACTTATTACTCTTTTCATATTATTTCTCCCGCTCCTATCAACTTCTTTCGTCAGATTCACCAAATACCACACAAACCCACCTCCAGAAAGTACTTGCGGGGAGGGAAAACGTCCATTAGAAACAGGGATTTCAAAATCAAGAATTCCCCATCTCCTTAGCAGCAGCAGCCGCCTTCTTAACTCAAGCAGATGCAAATATAAAATCAAATGGCATAAAACAGCTCTCTTTACTCTTAATTGACTTCAAAATCAACCTTCAATATGAGCAAACTTTCAAGGGGGCAAAGCTAAGAGTCATCAAAGGAACTTAGAAGCAATCTTTATGTAAACATCAGAAAGGCCTCAGAATTTGCGGAATGACAGCAAGGCTTGACAAGCCATTCAGTCCCGAAAGATGGTAATTTTTAAAGCTGATATCATCACAGGCCTCATCCATTCAAAACCCAATTTGAACACACAAAAAAACAAAAAAAAAACAAAGGAAGAAAGATCCTTTTCAAAAGAAGACGCCATTCAAGATGGCGAAAATGTATGTCTCATGGCCAGTCCCAAGAAGTAAAGGCAGCGATGCTGCTCCACAAGGCGATGGAATATGAGACCACCCGCCCGCGGAGAAGCTCCTCCCCCGAGAGGGCGGAGCTCCGTCGACGCCGACGGGCTTTCGTCTGTGACGTTCGCTTCGGGAATATGCAAGCACGAGAGCTTTAGCTTGCTCCACAGCAGCAGCAAGGGATACTCGAGAAGAATCCCCCGTCACGTAATTCACAAAAATCGAAAACCCAAATCGACAACGCAAACTAATTGAAGCATAGCTTCCCTAATCGATACTCCGAGACATAGTCAGATTTCACAAAGACTTAGCAAATTCGAAGAAAAATCTGAACTTTACACTCGACCCCGCTTCCCAAGATCCGTCTAATCTTGGAAAACACATTCAGGCATTCGGCACCGTCGAAATAAACCAAACGAAGCAACTTTAGACAGAAAAAAACCGAAACTTTGAATGACGATGAAGATGTACGTCTCATGGCCAGTCCACAGAGGTAAAAGCAGCGACGCTGCTCCAGAAGGCAATGGAATATGAGACGCGGCCGGCCGGCGGAGGAGCTCCCCCACCGAGGGGGAGGACCGTCGGACGCCGGCGGGCATCGATCTGCGACGTTAGCTTCGGAATCTGCAAACACGGATTTTGGGTTTGCTCCGATCGGGAAAAGCCGAGGACTTCCTCGCGGAAGTCCCCCGTCATCGATCCGACGCGAATCGCAACAAGCTCGACGGGCTCGTTGATGATCGAATCGAAGGAGGAGGAGAAGAAGGACGGCGCGGCGCGCGAACCTGGAAGATCTCGAGGGAGGATCGCCATTGGAAGATCGGAGGAGGAGGTTGCGCAGGTCTTCTGTAAAACCCTAGAAATTGGAAGATCTGAAGAGGGGTGAGGTTTATGGGTGGGTATATATAGAGCTGCGAGGTTGAATCTGAACCGTCGGATGGGGGAAGAGATCGGGCGGCTAGAAGAAGGCGATTGCTCTGTGAATTTAATATACTACTTTTCCTTTTGTTTTTCCTTAACACAGATTTGTTTCTCCTTTTACATTTTATTTTTTTCTTTTTCTTTGCTTTCTTCCTCTGCCGCTGGTGGATGGGCGAGGCTCGAGCTCAAAAGATTTCGGCGAGGTCTGATGAAGCGAGAGCTCGCGAGCGGCCTTGAGCGAGGTCGAGCTTGCCTAAGGCCGGTGAGGTTGGCCCTGACCTGTAGCCTGTTGTCGAGGCTTGGCGACGGCGAAGGAAGATGGACAAAGAAAAAAAGAAAAAATATTGAAAATTTAATTTTTAAACAAAATTGCAAAAATTATCTACGTCAATGCAACTATGCCACGTAGGTTGGTCGGCATCCACGTCAATAATTTTCGATTAAATGAGATTTTCATTATCAAACGACGGAAAATATTTTTCAGCTTATTTTTAAGTCTCGACCAAACACCAGAAAATATTGCTATTTTCCTAGAAAATGACTCATAAGAAACGTTTTTCAGAAATATCACATTTTCGCAAAACTAACGGAGCCTCAATTTTGGCTCAAACGTTTTTTTTTTTAATCTCATAAAAAAATCGGCATTCAATTGCTACCAAAATTCGGCCCCTGTTAAGGTCCCGACCAATGATAGCGTCGAAGATCCGACGTGTCATTTCATGTATATATCTCCCTTTAACGGCATCATTGGATGGATCCTCGACAAAGGCGAGATCTGAGTATTGACGGGAAATTTGTGCTTTTTTATTAAAAGCAAAAAAAAAAAAAAAAAAATTATATTATAATTGAGATCCTACATAAATTAGGCGTTTTTTTTATGAGACCAAAAATAATAAAAAAATTCGAGCCAAGAATTGAAACCCGACCTTTGGTACCTTTTAAGGTAATTGGGCCTGAAAAAAGTAGTACTAGGAATGGTTCGACACCACCTTTTATTTGTGTGGGCCGGTGGAGACATCGGTCGGCTCTAAACAACGTTTGGTGTCTCAGAAATTACAACCCTCCTAGCGAAGAGTGGCGAGGATGGTGAATCCTGTTGATTTGTTGTCAGACTCGCACAATACTCATCGAATCAGTAGCTCAGACTCGGTATAAAATAAATAAAGGAAAGCATGTAATACAATCCTTGAAGTCGGCCGTAGCATACTGCAATTCATGACCGAGGCGATCTGAACCAAACTCACATCGCCGACATGCATAGAACGATAACCCAAACCAAACCATTTCCGGAGTCGGCACGCAAGAAGACTTCTGAACACTTCAAATGAGAAGAAGAGCTCATAAATGATAAATATTGTCAACTGACCCAATTGCATATCAAATCATCCTCACGATATTTCAGAGAGAGAGAATATGAAAAGCCGTAACCTGTCGCCCTGACCAAATGAAAGAATAGAAGTAAGCTAACTAAACAGTTTTTCCTAATACTGTGCATTCCTATCTGTCAAGGAGAGACTTGCCCAACACTGTAAGCATCGGGCTGTTCTTTCATCCAAAATTTTCCATTACTCCCGCCGTAAAAGTCCTGGAAAAACGGAACAAAAGATTCAGACGAGCCCAGGCTGGGCACAGGAATGCAATTTGAGTTAGGTAACGAGAAATGAAACTGGCAGCATCAACAGTCATGGAAGTTTGAGAACTATGGCTTGTATTGCCTCGATAAAGACAGAACCTTGGATAGACAGCAACCGCTCAGACCAAATTTAGCAAGTTAAATATAAAAAATTAGATGCCAAGTAGAAAAAGTTTCTGGAAGTCAACATCTGGAAAATTTCAATGTGTCATCTTTAGGAACAAGGTCTACAGAACACCAACAAGACATGCCGACTAACCTTGTGCAAATGATTATAACAGACATCAAATACTTCGGAACACTAAAGGGCTGGATAGGGACTTGATAATTCAACGATTGTTAGCATTTAGTAACCTCAAGTGCCGATTCTTTAATAACCCTGGATCTTGTTTCGGTTAAATTCACTGCAGCTTACCAAGTCAAGTCCTATCCTAAGAATAGTCACCACACAGAGAACTTACAATAACTACTCCTCTCTAGCTTCCATCACTTCCATAGGAGAATCAAGCAGAATAGAAAATCAACTAATTCATCTTTTCTGACCAAGAAACTCCTCTCGATTATCAATCCTGCAACAACAATTCAACAAGAACTTGCTCATTCCAGATCTAGCTAAAACGGCAGTCACCAACTCCAAATGAAGGTTGGAAGAGAATTGGCTGCACATAATTACCGTTAAGACATGGTATGACTCCAAAGTCGAGTCATTCATGATTTCCATCAGAGCAGTTTTTATCTTCAATTACAACATTGTCAGTCGGCATTTTTGGCATTTCATCCCCATTTGGCTGAACCTCTCCAAGTTCTGGCTTCAGTTGCCCTGTACCACAGGCACAGAAAAGTTAAGACACGTGAAATACTGATATCATTCTTTTTACCCACTTTCCAAAGTAAAAACGTCCAGATGGGTGAAGCTATAGGATTGTAGATTATGCATTAGCCGAGAGTACATGTATGTGTATGCACCTTGTGTTTCATCGTGGTCGTTCTTCTCAGAAGCCTCATTTGGCACAGAATTAGCTGTCCGAGCGAGCCGTTTGAGACGATTTAGACGTACTCCTGTCATTGATTTACCTGAAACACATGCTGAGATATCAAACAAAAACTTACAATTTCCATTTCTAAAATTTGCCACGAGACTCGTTATTGTCATCTCTAGAACTATGCAGACTGCCATCATAGCTGCAGCAGACAAAGTAACAACTTTTCTGATATCTCTAAATTTTGTCACAGACTCTACTTGGCATACCTATCAGAAAAACAGCCGGACTAAAAAAAGAATTGACATAATTAACTTACACTTAGCCTCTGTAGTTCCTTTCAGGATGAGATTTGCTACAATAGGGATATTACTGCTAGTAAGCTCACCCAAGGGACGCTTTAAGGATCGTGCAAAATGCTTAACGTGAATTAGACGCAACCTTTTTTGAATTTTAGCTAAATCATAGGTAAGACACTCTGTGCCTGCAAAAGTGAATCAAGAAATGGTTGTAAAAATCCAGGATAAATATTAGTATTTTAGCAGGATCTAAGCACGACTAGTAACCTATTCGCAGCAGCTATAGGTGACGAAATTAATTGGTGAACAGAAAAGTACGCACCACCGTTGGACCTCAAGCTTTCAGCACCGATGTTTTGAAGAACTTGATTAACCCCTGCAGGAACAGCACGATCACATTGCACAGTCAATTGCGAAACACAATGATCCATTTGTCTATTGTTTCTTCCAGTATTTCCATGTTCCAAAGCTGTATCTGTTTGGCCAGATTGATGATCCGATCCCTGATGTTTTCTCTCCCTTCGGAGCTGATAATTCCTGCGGCGTCTAGCAAGATGCTTTTCCTTCTGTTCAAGAGTCATAGACTGTCTCCTTTGCCTATCCCGCATCCGGCGTCGTTCTCTTTCCTGCTCCCTTCGCGTTCTATGCAGAGTAGCTAATCTCTCTGTTACGTCTTCCATAGCCATGCCTATCATTCATTCGACTCACATCCCACACTCCATAATTACTCCTCTACATTTGGCTAACATCTACTCACGGGATAAAGAGAAGACCCACGTCATTATCAGCAACAACACAACCTAATCAAATAAAAACGCCCCCCCGGCACAGCAAATGCAGGAATAAACATCGAGCACACAAAAGAGCCCAAATAAAGGGAGATAACCACGCATCACGGCATGTAACCTCAACCGAAAAAAACAAAAAAAAAAAACACCCCAAATTAGTACAGACACAATTCCCATCCATACATAAATAAGCACAATTCAGTTTGCAAATTAGAATCAAACCCAACATGCAGAGCTGATTTACGAGAACTTAAAAATAAAAACGACAGCTTTTCACTGGGACGCAGTTGTTCTGAAGCCATTGATGCTTCCATTTCACAATTGGAGTCACGGTCACTACCTAAGCATTAGTGATAATCAGGTGGAGCAATCAATGGCTAAACGACAGAATCCTGCAAATGCCAACCCAAAGCACTCGCATTTCTTGCCGAAACAGCTCATCACAGCGCTCGGACCAACGACAGAACACCAAAATCGAGACACCCAGAATCGAAACACCCGCCGATCGAATACCCAAATGCCGGGATCACGGCCGGAAGACTGCCGCGGCCACGCGCAGCGAACCCAACACCGGGAGAATCGGGGGCAAAAAAGCTGGGATTTTTAAGGGAATTTTACCGCGATTCCGGGGGTCGAGGAAGGAGATCGAGCCGCTCGACGCCTCTGGGTCGCGCGCGATCACCATGGAAGGGCAGGCCCAATTCGAATTCCGAGCCGAGAGCGAGGCGAACGGCGACGGCGACGACGGTGATGACGACGATGAGCTGCGGCGACGACGATGGCGAAGGGGAGAGAGAGTGAAGGGGGGAGAGAGTCTTCTTCATGCGAAAGTTCACGCCTTTAAGAATGGCGGAAAAGAGGAGCGTTTCGGGTTTCGCGGCAACTGACAAATTGGTCTTTGACACGTGTTTATTCAATTCTTTGAGCTTTTTTTATTTTTTTTTTATTTTGACACTTTTGGTTTTTTTTTTTTTTTTAAAAATGGATTGATTTTCTTTTTCTTTTTTTTATATTGGTGGATTTTGTGGTTCTTTGATCCGAAATGTGAGAAGGATTGGACTGGAGTGGGTGGCTTGATTTGAGCTTCTACTGCCCCCTCCCCCCCCCCACACAAAAAGATGACCGAAGGTTTCTTGAGATGTGACCACTTAATGTTGATCATATCACGGGCTTAATGATACTGTCCGTAGATCTGTCGGAGGCACGATACCGTTCGTCCTGGCTCTCGATTTTGAGGCACATCGAACCTACTTTATGATTTTACGAGACTTATTTGTCGAATTATGAGCCCAGATATATCAGATCGAAGATGCAACCGAATTCCAACATTCCCACCCCGACTCTGATATTGATGAAGGCAAGCAACCCCACTCGTCGTCAGCGCAATTCATGATTAGCCCATACTTTGCATTATTGCGAGCGTTCAAGATTCATTATGCTAGCTTAAAGTTACACGAGACTTATTCACCAATACTCATAACCTACTCATATAGGCAATGTTCAATTAAAGATATACATGAATCCCAATATCGAATCCGACCCATCAAGTTACGTATACCACTCTCATTAATTGTCTGGTCACGATTAAAGATTTTTTTTATTTTTTGTTACATCATGCGTTGGACTGGATGAACTAAACTAGTTTGGGCAACTGTCAATTATATGAAACTCTTGTCAATTATGAGTGCCTTTAATCACTTTCGAATTTATTTGTAAGGGATTAATTACATATAACACGAGAAAAATTGGTACATTCAAACTGTAAATTGGTATGCAATCCGAGGAGCTCTCTGAGTCTCCTCTTTTTCTCTCTCGCTTGAAGAGCTCCCCTCTACCCCAAGGGGTAGTTATACCTTTCCCTTTACCCATCACCAAACCCTAATTTCTGTTACCGCACCACCTTCGCTGATCATTCCTCTCCTCTTGGCTGCAATGGATTGGAATTTTTTATCTGTCTCCAAAGATTTCGCTTTCATCAGGAAGCTCAGAAGCTCCCCAACCTTGGCAATGGCTGAGTTATGATTCGTCTGGACCGTCATCTGGGAAGATCGCCTAGTGGGTCATGGCTTCATCGCTCCATAAGATCCGTTAATCCGGCTCTGTTATTCTGTCCGATCTCTTTTTCTCTCGCTTGAAGAGGTTCCCATCCACCCCCATGTGCTGCTCACTCCTGTCCTCTTGGCTGCAATGGATTGGTCTATGCTTTGGACTTTGCCTCCTCGCTCTGGGTATGCTTTCCTCGGCTCTCACGATGGAAAGGTCGTCGTTTAGCATGTTGGATTCTGAGCTGGGATAGTACTTTGGGTGTCTCAATGCTGTTTTTTTCTTACTGAAAAAAGGAGTTGGTAGTTGTCTAAGGTGCTGGAGATAACCCAGGAGGAAGTAAGCCTAGTAACTGCTCGATAAAATTACTGAATGAGAGAAAAAGCTTATGGATGACTTTCACCTATTCTGCGATGGTTTTTAACTACTAAACGGGGAGATGTTTGCTACAAATAAGCCTAGTAGTCTTGATTGGGTATGCGAGTTTTTTTCTTGGTAACATATTTCTGAAGCTCCCTCTTCACTCGGCATCGGGGTGTGCTTCGGCGTAGGAGCTCTATTTTGCCTTTGGCCCGCACGGCTCAGAGCTATCCTTTATTTGGAACTACAATGGAGGAGGATGAAGTTTCAGAGGCTCGCTTAGCTGCACTATGTAGTAAACTGGGTACTTTATGGTCAGAAAGTGACTTAGCAGTAATCGATGGAGCGGTTTCAAATGAGAGACTACAAGAATGCCGGTTGACTCTGCTCGGCCAACTGTTCTCAAATCCGACCATTAACTTCCAAGCTTTCCAAAGCACTATGAAGAAAGCGTGGAGAGTTGACTCGGTGAATATTACTCAGGAAGACCAAAGGACTTTTGCTTTCGCTTTCAAAACGGAGCTTGAGTTGAAAAGGGTCTTAGAGACTGGACCTTGGTCTTTCTCTAACAACCTAGTGGTGCTCAAAACGTATATACCGGATGTCCCACTCCCAAACTATGAATTCACACACTGTGATTTTTGGGTCCAAGTGCACGGTTTGCCTTTGAATTGGATCTCGGAGGAATCCATCAGGAGAATCACAGCAGCTGCTGGATGTGTTTCTGATGTTAGGACCGACCCAAAGGCTTCACCAAACTTCTCAAATGGTAAGGCCAAAGTAAAAATCGACTTAACGGCCCCTTTGAAGCCCGGAACGATAGCTAGCCAAGGAGGGAGGAAATTGTGGGTGGACTTCCGATACGAGAGGTTACCACATTTCTGCTATGCTTGTGGTCGTATAGGGCACTATGCTAAGTTCTGCGAAGTCAAGCATTACGACGAGAACATGCTTGAAACTGACGAACCCGGATGCTTTGGACTTTGGCTTCGTGCTGAATCGAGAGAGTGGAGCCCCCTTTGGAAATCTTTTCAGGCTAGGCCTAGGAATGTAGATATGGATGATGACATCGTCCCTGAAACTCCATCCCCTTCACTTCAGATGGTGGCTTTTGAATCGAGAGGCAAGAGACCACTAATTCCAAGTGGTGAGAAGCTGACAGAGAAGCCAGGGATGTCCTCTGTTTTTAATCCAGAAGAAAGAGGAGCAAGTGTTAGTGGCTCCAGAGAAGGTCTCCAGCAACAGTTATTGCTGATCAAAGCTCCAGTCTCTACCCTAGGGACAGAAGGGAGCTCTCTTGGTTATCAAAAGACAAGGAGTAAGGGAAAGAGATCAGTAAGCAGCAAGACCCAGAGAAGGTATAGCCCTTACTCTCCCCAGAAGGTAATCGCTCCCGTCTTGGACGAAACCCAACTTTTAGATACCCCTATCCAAGTTCTGGTTGATTCTCAAGTACGGGCTTTGGTGGCTAGCCCTAATAAGCCACCGGGTGTCCCATGAATATCTTAAGTTGGAATTGTCAGGGGTTGGGCAATCCCCTGACAAACCGGGAACTGCGTGTCTTAGTGGCACGTGAGAGGCCCAGCATCATTTTTTTGATGGAAACAAAAAACAAAGAAGAAATTATCTTGAGGCTGAAGAGACAGCTTTGTTTCCAGTTTAGTGTAGTGGTAAACCCAACGGGTATCGCAGGGGGGTTAGCGGTATTATGGACTGATCTGGTCTCGTTAAAGGTGGTAAGTGCCTCGTCGGAGCTGATTGACCTAATTTGCTTGGAAATAGGAAGCCAACACCATATGAGAGTCACTTTTGTTCACGCTACAACAGTATACCAAGAAAGGCTCCAACTCTGGGGGAAATTACAGCTAGTTGGCCAAGCCAACCATCTCCCGTGGATTTGTATGGGAGATTTCAATGAGATCTTGCACCCGTGGGAAAAGGTTGGAGGATGTAGGGCGGATTATTACAGGTTAGCTGCATTTCGAGACTTTCTTAGTGGATGTTCCTTTATGGATGTAGAGAGCAAGGGTTGCGCATTTACATGGGCAAACAATAGAGATGGGGAGGCACACATCAAAGAGCGACTTGATAGAGTTTTATGCAATGTGGAGTGGAGAGTAATGTACCCAAATGCACAAGTTCTTGCCCTTCCTGCGGTCGGCTCGGATCATAGTCCCCTATTGCTTTCATTATCAGCAACAACCATAAAAAGGAAGAGGGAATTCAAGTTTGAAGCATACTGGCTAGAAGATGAAGAATGTAGAAGAGTTGTTCAGTCAATGTGGAGCATACCAGGATTGGAAAATGAGAAACTCCTGAGGAAATTACAAAGAGTATCAGAAGCTTTAACGAAATGGAGCAAAGAGAAGTTCTCAAATGCGAAACGCCAAATTGAATCTCTGAAATGGGAGCTACAGGAGATCACGAATGCTCCAATTGTGCACTACAATAGAGAGAGGGTGAAGTTCTTGAACCAGCAAATAGATGAACTCGGGAGACAAGAGGAAATATTTTGGGGAATGAGATCAAGGATAAGTTGGTTGCAATGGGGAGACAAAAACACCAAGTTTTTCCACGCAACCACAGTACAAAGAAGACAAAGAAACAAGATCTCCATGCTAAAATTAACGGATGAGGAATGGTGTCGAGACCCAAAGCAACTACAGGATATGACGGAGCAGTTCTTTAAGTCTTTATACACCACCGAAGGCCCAAGAAACTTTCACCCAGTACTAGAACAGTGTCCTAGCTTAGTGGAGGATCAAATGAATTGCAGTCTACTGAGAAGTGTATCAATGGAGGAGGTAAAGGAAGCAACTTTCCAGTTGGGAGCAAAGAAAGCAGCGGGACCAGATGGTTTAAATGGGCTATTCTATCAACAACATTGGGACATCATCCAACACGATGTATTCACTATGGTGAGAACTTTCTTTGAATCTGGCCATCTTGACCCGAACCTGAACAGAACCCATATTGTTCTGATTCCTAAGAAGCCTAACCCAGAAACACTAGATCAGTTCAGGCCCATTAGCTTATGCAATTTCGGCTACAAAATTATCTCCAAGGTCTTGGCAAATCGCCTAAAACCTTGGCTTCCTAATATGATAGCGGAGGAGCAAAGCGCTTTTGTTAGCGGCAGACAAATACGGGATAATATCCTAGTTGTTCAAGAAGTCCTACATCAACTAAGAATCAGGAAGAGGAAAAGGAAATTTCAAGCCATCCTCAAGTTGGACATGAAAAAAGCCTATGATCGGGTTGAGTGGGACTTCCTTGAGGCATGCATGATTAAGATGGGTTTCAGTGCGAGATGGGTTTCATGGATTATGCAATGTGTCACTACAACCTCCCTTAGTGTCAAGTTTAACGGAGAACCACTTCCTTTCTTTGCGCCATCGAGAGGTCTTCGGCAAGGAGACCCTCTATC